AATTCGTTCATATTAAAATAACCCCTTAACGGCCGACGCTACAAATTATTTTATTTCAATATGAATTTTTAGGCGCTTCTATTCTGTACAAAGACAATCACAGCCTTCGCTGTAATAGACATAAATTTTGACGTTAGAAATCATCAAATAAATCTAACTTTATCTAGGCCGGAGTACGGCTGCAATAAATTTCTAGGTCGGGCCATTTGACGTTGGCGTGAATGAGAAACTATAGACGCGGTTTGCTAGAAATTTAATAAGTATCAAGCCGTCTTTCTATACGTTCTTGTTTCTGGGCCAAATACTTTTAAAAGGAGGGCAAAGAAGATTCAAAGTAATCCAGGATTGAAAATTCATTATTAGAACAGATAAAGTGGCCGCCATTTTAAAATTACTTGTTTTTTTTTACTTATTGCTTTTAATATTAATATTTAATTCGGTTCATGTTAATCATACTATAATTGTATTAGTAAAAATGCTTATTCTTCGGATAATTTTGAAATTGAAAATTTAAATATTATTTTTTTATATCATTATATTGTACACGGCTTTATGGTGGCTCTTGGGCCACCTTAGCCACGCCTTAACTAGTCAGTATATTACAAGATGGGTGTAATTTTTTATTAGACGCAAATAACCTAATCATACGAATAAGTATCAGAGTATATAAAAATATAATTATGTACAGTCCGTGCGGATAAAGAATGAGATTAGAAATGGCGACACATCCAGGCCTTATCGTACCAATCACAGTACCAATAGCGTAAGCCCGCTAATAACGGTATATCGTTATATCATTCTAAAATAACGTTATATTATAATATGAAAATTTTCTACAACGGGAAAATATAAATATAATTTTAAAATAACATTATATCGACCCGCTATAATAATCGACTGGTTGGGATCTAATTAATTCAGATAATTATTAAAAACCATTTATTTTATCTTATCGATACTTTTATTTCTGGATCACTCCTGCTATTACTCTCTCTTATTCGTGAAGTTTTATTACAATCGGTTCAACCGTTCTGAAAATTAGCTCGCAAATACAGACAAAGATTTTTTTTTAAATGGTTATTCGAATAACAATGACATATAATTATTTAACAAACAAAATCTGTACTTTAATATACTGCCTTTGAATGCCTTGTTAATCTAGCGGTCTTAAACACGGTTGCTAATATTGAGGTCCTGGGTTCAAATCCCGGGTCGGGCCAAAATCATTTATTGGGATTTTCTGTCAAAAAGCGTTCACCCGAGTAAGGAAGTTGGCGGTGTTTTGTGTTATACCTCGAAAAACGTAAAGCCGTTGGTCCTGCCCCTGATCTCTCTCCGGTCATGTTGAATTACTGTCCTGTCGTTCTATGAGAGTGCAGGGAATAGAGAGTGCTCCTGTGCTTGCGCATACACTTGGGCACTATAATCCTGTCCTACAGAGATGGCTAGTCTATGGCGGCCACAGGTGGTGTCAGAATGTCGGTAATTAATATTACGTTAATATAAGGGATTATAAAATAAGTTAGTAAATCACGACAAAATCCATTAAAACTACGTTAACGAAAACTACGTATCGTTCAATATGTAGTGTTAGTGTAAGCATAAGAAATAGTTTTAAATATTTAATTTAATTTTTTTTAACTATGTGTTGCTTTTCTGATTTTTATCTGTTATTGTGAGATCTACATTTACACACTACAGTTCTTGAAATTATGTCCATTTTTACCCAACGACCCTAGAAAGAGGGTAATCTTTTTCGCAGCGAGTATGTACCTATGTATGTCACTTCTATAGTACGCTTTGTGTAGCCTAAACGGCTTGCTTTTTTTTAACATATTATGTGGTGTGGTTAGATTCGTCTTAATTGTGGAAGTGAAATAGGGTATAAAATTGTTCTTTATTCAATTTTTTATGGTATAAGGATGTTAAATAAGCACACAGTCCATCTGATGGTAAGTGGACGCTGTGGCCTATAGACATTTACATTAAAGGGATATAGTAAGTCAGCTCAAATTCTAATTAAGCCCCTACTTCCCCGCGCGTCGTATGCTATGTACCGACATGTTTGTAATCACTAATACTGTAAGTAGATAGGTCGTTAGACACTTATTTCATTAGGTTTATCATATTTATGCATGTTTCTTAACGTCAAGCCAGTCGCTTCTTATTTTTATTACGGTTATTTCCCATTTTAATTTTACGTCGTCCTGTTGCGTAATGTGTATTCTGATCGTAAGCGACACAACCTCCCCCTTCAAAGGCCGAAGCGAAACTGACCGGGCGGCAGGAATCACGCTTCAAGAGGCCGATAGTTTAGGTAATTTCTTTTTACAGTGAAAATAATGGTATTTTAAAAAAAAGTAAATAACATAAGCACTGCTTTATAGTTAGTTCAGTTAGTATGCAAAGTTTCATGATCTTATTTAAAGTATTTTCTTTGGATTTTTTTTATCGAGAAAATTTTACGGAATCGTGTTTTCGTCTAACATAATCCTTACCATTAATCCTCAACTTCACCATATATTTATTTCAAAATTAATGCTGCAATATTTTCGGCATAACGGAGGATCTTGCTAATCCATTTGAGGTTATATTTCCCCTAGGACTGAGATGGAATGCTTTATTTCCTAGTGAAAAGGTTCTCCGATCTCTACACTCACCACAGGAAACACAGCAGCATTAAGCTGCTATTTTAAACTGGTATTCCGTTAGAGCGTGGTCCCAAACGAACTGACTTATGCTACAACCACAATATAGCTGCAGCGTCGCTCTACCACGTAAAAGTTATTAATATTTTCATTCTTTTTTTAATTACTTTTTGACATTTTTATTTATTATCGAATAAAACTTAAAAATCGGGAAATCTATTATATATTTTAGCCTATACCAGCAAGCACAAAGCAACTGCAGACTTCAAATACAATATCCCCTGAAAAACAACCGATTGAAATGCCTTGAGGAAATGAGAGTGAATGCAGGCAAACGTGGGCGTCGCCGGAAATTGTCCTAGATCTAGGTCACAGCGTTAATGTTCCGTGAAAATTACTTTAGGATTCTCTGTTCGTGAATATTCTTGTATCATACATTATGAGTTTATAATTACAATTTTATATTTATTTTCAAGGGCATAGATCGCTGGATGAGTAAATTCACCTGGTAAGTGGATGCCACAGCATGTAGTGGGCCACAGCCCCTATATATCTTCGATTAAGTGATTTCCTTGTTGGTCTGGTTGTCGTAAGCGCGTCTGCCTATCCTAAGGACATGGGTTCGATCTTAAGTCGCGCAAACAATCGGTTACTTCGTTTTTGTAAAATAAATTTATTCTGTTTATTTAAGTAAAATCCATTTAAAAAGTTCAAAAAAGGCAAAGAAAAACAGCCTCAAATCAAAAGATAATAATAATTTAGGAGCTTAAATTCTTTGGAAGACTAAACTAAACCGTGTAACCGACAACAGAAGCTATTATGTTGGAAGTTCCATATTTTTGCAGATAAAGAACAAGGCATCGTTAAATTAGTACGATTATTATTTGTGCTCAAGGAGGATTCAACCCACACTCAGGCCGAAAATAAATCATCAATATAATGCTAAAATATTTTTATATTCTATAAATATGTTTTAAAAACAATTCAAAATAGCAGCATTAAAAAGCTAAGTTATAAACAAATTAAAGCAAGTCATCCAACCGTGTAGTGGCGGTGTAAGAATATCTATTACGCCATATGACGTGGCTATCGTAAGGGGTGACAGAGGGAAACTGAACCAAGAGATGGCAGAAAATAAAAAAACTGCGGTTGCAAACCCGCTTGTTAAGCTTGGCAAATATTGCATATATCTTATTAGGCCACTTATGGGGGATGCTTACGTTCAGCAGTAAACTTTTGATAGGCTGCAATAGTACTACTATAACCCTTTGTATCATAAATGTAGTTTATTGTGATTTGAATCTGTTTTGCGCAAATGGCCGTACGTAACTCAAAAGGGTTACCTAAAACTTTAATCTATAAATCTGGATCGTAACACAGTCACGACTCTCCTTGCTGCCATATAATAAATACGAGGACTATATAGTGCATATTGGACATCATTTTGATTTTTTTTCTAACTCTATATTAGGTAGTACTCTTTTATGCTCAGGCTTGATACGTACCCACACCCTACCAAACTGAAAAGTATAGGTTTTTATATGTGGTAGAGCAATTACATACTGGGGATATCTCATTTATAATACATGTAACTGTTTTGAGGCAAATAAAACATTTTCATTTTTCAAAAACTTTAGTTAATTTATCACTAGACTAGATATAGCTCAACGACATTTTTGTGTCGAATTCGTTTAGTTAATGTGGTACTAGATGTTGCTCATCGATTTAAAAACGCGTTATTGTTTAACCATTACGTAGACTTATATAGTATTTAGTTGACTTTTAACATAATAAGCATCATACGGATACATAGTAACTGCTGTATAATATTGGAAATAATCGGTAGTAACTTTCCTATCCAGTTCCGGCACATAGTTAGATCATTGTAACACGAATCGCAAGGACCACGCTCTCATATTTCATAGCAGCGTTTAATAGCAGCTTAATTCAATGTAAAATGAACACAGTCTCGCTGTTTCGTATGGTGAGTATAGAAAAGCAGAGTCCCTTTTTATTGGTAACGAGGCATTCCATCATAGCCGTCAGCGGTGACAACGCTGATTTTGACCCTTAATCGAGGATAGATGTAGATGTCTATGGGTCACAGCATCCACTTACCATCGGGTTGACTGTGTGCTCGTTTTTTACGACAGTGAAAAGAAAAAATGTTGCAATAAGTACCGGACTGACTAAAACAGGTGAATAATTTAGTGGATAGAGTGGAAGAGCGTGTTTTGCCTATTCTATATTAGTATACAACTTGACGTGGGGTCGGGACATTTCGTAACTTAATATATCATCATATCAAAGTAGTCTGGAATAATTATCTTTATTACATTCTGTTATTTGCAGGATGGTGACGTCATCGAGCTGTGTCAAGTCAGTGACGTGAGATCTGGAGGAGTGCCAAAGGTATTTTTTTAAAGATTTCTCTTTTATTTTATTATTAATAAGAAATCGGAACTATAATCAGACAACTGACTATATCAAAATATACATTTACAGGTTTACTCACATAACACGACGTCACTTTGAGAAATGCTTAAAGATGGTCTCTCTCTCTCTCTCTCTCTTTCATCATCATCATAATCATTACAGCCCTTCACAAGTACACTGCGGAATATATGCCTATCCCAAGGAATGCCACAAAGCATTACCTTGAGCCACCTGCATCCATCGATTTCCTGCATATCTTAACAGATCGCTTATCTGTACGAAGCTCAAGAACATTTCTTTTCCATCGATTACCGGTTCTTTCAGCTATATCGCCGGCTAATATTGCCACTTCAGCTTACGAATCTCTCTCTTTATTAAATGGCAATAGAAAGAGACGAGTATAAAGATATTTAATACGTCTCAATTAAGCGATAGTCAGCGATTAGATGTATGGTCATAAAAGTATATGAATTCCGCCATTAATCCCTACAATCTGTATCTATAGTGTAGGTTGGGTGTGGGTAGTTTTTCACGTGTACTTCTGACGCACAAGATTCAATCATGGGTGAAAGTACTTAAATAAATCAATAGCGAAAGCAGTTAATTTCTCGGACTGGTTAGTAGTTTATTAAAAGAAATGCTATATATAAGAGTTATTTTTTTTTTTTAATTATTATGTTTGTTATGGAGTAGTGGCAGGGTTGGCGTGAATAAATCATTTTGATATACACCATGATTTAAATCAAATGATGTTTTCAATAAAATCAATGATTTAATCAAAATTGTTTAATTTCACTTTCTTTCACAGATATCAATGATTTAATGAAAATTGTTTAATTTCACTTTCTTTCACAGATATCAACATTAAAAAAACTGATTTAGAAATTATAATTAAGTTACAAACTAGGGCCGTTTAAATATGAGAAATCAATGTTATTATTATAAATATAATTTAAAAAAAAAAACAAGTTTTACAGCTTTTTCAATTCCCATGCGGTTTCTTAATTTGCTCTAAACAATTACAACTTGCGAAGGGCTGTAATAATGAATGATGATGAAATATACACGATGGAATCCGTAAAAGCTACTATTATTTAAATGTGTAGTGTTCGCGTAAATAATATAAGAAATCATTATTCACAATATTTTAATTTACAATAAGAAAAAAATAACACTTACTGGGGTTGTATTAGCAATCAATTTGCACACTATTTACAAATAAATATGTATTAAAATGTAAACGGTTTCATTTTATGATGATTGTGAACAGCCATCAAAAGTCTTAAATGTGCAAATTCGCTCAATCTGTTCACACATTTATTCCTTCCCTTTCTTTTCAAAAAGGAATAAAGTCTGATTTTATGTAATATTAAAATGTTTTAGTAACATTTATTTATTGAAATTTGTATGATCAATGAGCGAATTGGGTTTTTAGTAGTGATAATAGGACGTAGCCGCTTGTGTATGCGCTCCCAACGACACCGGTTCTCGTACAAAATAAGGTTGGCACCCATTATATTGTGTGTTATTGTATTCTATGGTTTAAATTGTCCATATTTATTTACACAACATTTAGTGAATCACTCCAATCACGTTACGGGTTCAAAATGGCCGCCGATAACGGGTGTTTATGACGTGGAATAATTATGTTATATGTCGGTTATAGCTATACGCACGGATTGAAATAGAATTGTTATTGGAATTTCAGATTATTCTTCATCAACTTGTATACCATATACAATATTTCATTTAGATTACACCGAGGAATGAAAGCTTTTACGCGCATCCGAACGTAATACCCATTATAAATAATGCTACCTTTTTCTTCTTTCATTTTGTAATGAAATTTGTTTAGAATATCTAAATATTACCTAAATTATTAAGTAATACTAAGTAAAATTTTATTTTCGTTGAATGTAGTATAAAATTCTATCAGCTCCTTATTATAACTTCAAAGTTATGATGAGACTTTAATAAATTATAATTGCGAATTGAGACATCACATAAGTACTTAAATACAGGTTGCCTACGTAGTATTACCTATACAGGTTTCTAATACCTATACAGGTTCATAGTGCTGCCTTACAAAATGTTAAAATGTCGCGAATAGGTACTACGATAAATGTAAATTGTGTACGAATATTACAGCAATGTCCTTATTATATTGCTTAGCTTTACTAAACTTTTTATATGGTAGAGCCACGCTGCAAATATATTAAAGTTGTAGCACGAATGGCTTGGCTCGACCGGGGAAGGACCACGCTCTCACAGAATACCAGCGTAAAATAGCAGCTCAATGCTGCTGTATTTCGTATGGTGAGTGTAAAGAACCGGACACCCTTTTTACTGGAGACAAGACACTCCATCTTAATCCTCAAGAGTGACAACGCATCTGCATTTTGCTTTTTAATCGAGGATAAAAGTATATGGGCTACAGCATCCACTTACCATCAGGTGGACTGTGTGCCCGTTTGTCATCCTATTCTATAAATAAAATTACTACTAATAAAATAAAAATAATATATCGGTCAAATGGGTTAATCCAATAAAATTAATTTTAAGGATATAAAGTTACAGCTTATATACGTCCCATTGCTGGGCCTCCTAGCACAAGCCTCTTCTCATTTCTGTGAGGGTTTTAGGGCAAGGAAATTTACGTAGCGCAGCTCCATTGCGTGTGCGAACGTGTTCCTCACGATGTTTTTCCTTCACCGCTGAACACGTAGTAAATCAATACCTAAAATTGCAATTGAAAATTTCCCCGGCAGGAATCGAACCCGGGTTGCTCGCGTACTGTGAAATTTACAGCGAGCCATTAGCCCCTGAACGAAGACGGCTTTTTAAGATTGATTTTAAGGATTTAATGATGTTTAATATGACTATTTTCACGAGAGACTGGGATATTTATTGTCCTGATGCCATAGTTAACCCGGACTACCTTCAGCTTTTGGATATTATATTTGATCCGATTTACGTAGAATGAGCTTGTAGTATCTTGAAAGTTGCAGTTATATAGCAGAAGAGATTATTTATCATCCCATATCGTCCCATACTCGTCCCCGGCTTAGTTAGATGCGTCTGTTTATTGTTGTCTGGCTGAAAGTAACATATCAGTTCCTATCCCCTTACCGCATGAATTATTAAAGAGATGGAATAAAAATTTTATTTTTGCGAAAAATTGTTTATTTGAGCTTACATAATGAGATCAAATTGAGAAAAAAATATTAACTTATAAAAGTTATTACACGACGTCATATATGGCTTCGTATGCATTCTAGCCAACCTAATTTTCATAATGATTTCTTATATTTACGCGAACACTACACATTTAAATAATACTAGTTTTACGGATTTATCGCGAATATTTAACTTTTTAAATACCCGACTTTTCGAGCGCTTTACAGCACCCATGGTCACGGGGGGGACTGAGATGTTCAATGTCCAGATGTCATAGTTAACCACGGTTACCATATATTAAAATTTAACTTTTGTTGCGGTCTACACAGTATGAACTTAAACTTAAAGTTCATACTGTGTGGATTAAATTTAGAGTAGCACTTTTTTTCTTTCTTGTACCCAGCTCGTCGCACGCGCTCAACATAACCTAAAAATATTTGACAGATGACATTTGCAATGGACAAATTATTTACGTTCCGTTTCACGATGAAATACTGTTTCTAATGTTAGCTAGTTTTTTGAGATGAGATATATCGTTAGCCTATAAAAAAAATACAAAGTTCGGCATCCATATATGGCTTCGTATGCGGTAAGGGGTTTCATACTTTGATGTTTACCTATATATATGTTAGCGGCCTAACTAGATTTCAGGCCAAACTAGTTTGGCCTTGGCAAAATAGATTGAATCATTGTATAATCTAATCTAGCCATACCTAACTTAATATTGATCTAAATTTACTTCTGCAACAGCTTCGGCGCTGCGGGAAGTGCAGCCCCTTCGCCCTTGCGTAGTAAATCGCAGGCACCCAGGCTCACCTCCGCAGCTCTGGCTTATTGGTCGCCTTCGGCGCTAAGCCTCAGCCGCTGCGGCTCGCACAGGTGCCTGCGATTTGCTACAGCGAGCGGGGGCTACTCTCCCTCCGCGCTTACGGCTTTACAAAAATACTAGGGGTAGGGCAGACAAGACTACGTAGATTTGGGGTGTTCTCATTCGGTTTTAGAGCAGATTCGACCGATCTTATCAGAAAACAGTGTAAAACGTCAATCCTGACAAGCCCCCTAAACTAAAAACTAAATTTAAATCAAGTACTGCACGTCTATGGCCAACCCAAAATTATGAGATCCCTTAAACAATTTAAGAATGAGTAAGAATTTAAGACAACACTTTGAGAATATGAAGGTTTAACAAAAATTATTTTCATTTACTCAGTCCTTCCTAGGCCAAAATAATTAAGCCTAAAGTATTTTGGCCAAACTATATTGTCTTGGGCTAAACTAATATGTCGTAGTTAGATAAACCGATTTGGCCTAGGACAAACTAGTTTGGCCTAAAATCGGGATTGGTCGGTAACATATATAATTCTTCCGTCCGTGTGTATGTAACTCAACTTCTCCTTAAGGGCTGGACCAATTTTGATGAAATTTTGTGTGTGTATGTATAAAGTTGATTCAAAAATGGTTTAGATTTAGAATTGGTCCCGGTAGGTGGCGCTGTTCTCAAGATCCAGAAATAACCCGTGCTCAGTATTAATAAATTCTCAGTAGCTGCCCGGAGTCAGGAAGTTGGCGGTGTCTCACCCCCGTGCCTCGGAAAGCACGAAAGCCATTGGTCCTTCGCCGATCCCTCTCCGGTCGTGTCGGTTTACCGTCCCATCGGATTATGAAAGTGAAGGAATAGAGAGTGCCCCTGTGCTTGCGCTTACACTTGGGCACTATAATCCTGTCCTGCGCCGATGGCTAGTCCCCGTTGAGGCTGGCCGCCGTGACCGAAATTCGGTCAGGAGGACATTATTATTATTATTAGTACGGTTGTAGCCGAATGGGTCGGCTCGACTGGAAAGGACGCTCTCACAGAATACCAGCTTAAAATAGCACTCACCATACGAAACACGCTGCTGTGTTTCGTATGGTGAGTGTAGAGAACCGGAGACCTTTTTACTCTAAACGAGTTATTCCATTTTAGTCCTCACGGGTGACAACGCATCTACATTTTGATTGATGTAGATGTCTATGGGCCACGGCAACATCTTACCACCAGGTGGACTTTATGCTAGTTTTTCATTCTTATCCAATAAAAAAAATATGTAGAACCTCCGAAAGTGGCCAGTTTTTATATCAAGTTAAATTAGATCCCACCCCCCTCCCAAAGTATAAACGTGAAAAGGGTGCTAATTTCGGTACAGTCGACGTTCGGGGTTTTCGGCTTTACCGATAAAGTTGAGATCTGAACGGGTGCCAAGTTCCATACCAGTTGCTTAAATCATATGATCTAAGCAACGATGCACTTTTTATAGGAAGTAATGACTTTATAAATTGAATTAAACTTAGTAGGTACTGGCTTAGGTTTTTGAAGAGTGAGTCAGTGAATCAGCCGTTGAGTGATAACAATTGCACTTTGCAGTCATCGATAACTCAATAAATTAAATTAAATCCTACCTACCTATTAAACGAGAAATTCTATGTATATATATATAATCGGAATCTGCAACTGTGTGCAGGGAGTTTCGGGGGCAATAAATCGATCTAGCTAGGATTTATTTTTAGAAAATGTCTTTTTGTCCGTGTTTTTAGGCAATGAAAAACTGCTACAATATCGTTAGAATAAGAAGGTAAATTTTGACAGTTTTTGACTACAAATAGCTTAATTGGTATATTGGGCAGTCACAAAATCGTTATACCAAGGTTCCGAGCCCAGACCGACCGACCGCCTTTTTTAAATTTTTTTTTCAAGTTCCTTTCTTTTTTTGAGAAAATCTATTTTTTTCGAGCCCCCTTTTTTTTGTATTTTTTAAAAACACGAAAATTTAAATTAAACTAATTGCACTCAAGATTTTTTATTCAATTAACCAGTTCAGTTTTTTCTATTATGTCGCTAAGATCAAAAAATATTATTCGTATTTCATCAGTATGTAATTTGTATCTAAATATCATTTCCAAAACACACGAATTCAAAAAAACCGAGCGAAAAATACCGAGCAAAGCTCGGTCAACTGGGTACTGAAATATTTATTTGAGTCTGGTTAAGATCTTTGAGTATTGAAACAACTAGTAGTAGAGTATTCTCGTATTTTTGACAAAGGGTTTGCCTTGCGATGCCACCTCCTTTAGTATAATACTCATATCATACACTACACTGAAGGTACACTGAAGATGATCATAGTATGTAATTAATCATCCACTTAATCGGCCATTATAAATGGCATGCAAATCTTAGAACTATTAAATGTCAAGAAATGATATTTAAGGTTTATTCACGAAACTTGAAAATTAGGATACAAGGTTTCAAGGGGTCTTTATTAGACATGCAAAATTGCAAGTGTATAGGTCTTATAGTCTGAGTTATGAGGGGTCCGAAAGTTGGTCGAAATGGTTAGTGTAAATGGACACATTGCTAGTGCGTCGTCTTTTACTTTTTCCAAACTTGACTGACTCATTGTCGTGAGTCTAAATTTTTAATAAAATGTCTTAGTAATTCTAAAATATTCAAATAAGCTGATAATTTTACTAATATATTTTTATTGCAGCAAGATTCAAAATTGAGCACCAATCTCATAAACAAGCATGGAGACTCCCTGGAAGACAAGTCGCTCACGATATGCAGCGGCACCGACTACATCAATATTAATTACCAGCACGTGGTCTGCCCCGACGCCGCCACTGCTAAGGTCAGTGATAAAATATTTATGCTGTTACTAACTTAATTCTATAAAAAAATTAGGCAGCTCCGTTCATTTTGTAATCTTTAAAAAACTTAATTTTAAGTTACCGTTAACATTGATATTATGTAAAATTGCAATAGTTCTGGTAACCGGTATAATGTTTTGTAGTTTCGTCGTGACATTCAAACTACGAGTATAACAATTAACTTTTCGAACTAATTAATTATTCCAACAAAACTTTCGCTGTCTATTAGACGATAAAAATCAATAAAAATATTTTTATTTTTGTGAAAAAGGTGTGGCTTGAAGGACTGAGAAAAATCACACACAATGTGAAAGCGAACAACGTGTGCCCGATAACTTGCCTAAAGAAACAGTAAGTGACGGGAACGCATGCGCGAGCATGGCTTTCGTGTCGGTAACGCCTTAGCTTTTAGTCGCAATGTGGCGAATGAATTGGATAACTTGCTTTACACAAGTTTCTTCGCTTTTTATCTTGTATATGCAATGGTTATAGCGGTGACTGAAGTAAATTTGAGAGGATATCCATTAGACATAGAGCGGCAAGACATTTAAAGAATAGATTTATAACGGATATATTTGTTGTGGATATGAAATGGAGGAAATAATATTTGGGAAACGCAAAAAGATAATAGTAGGCAAAATGGTACGTCACTAATCGGCACAGAAAACGGGCGAGTCAGTCATTCGCACTTCTTCAGCACTCAATAATTCGGTGCGAGATCACAGGTGTATTCACAAATATAACGTTTCGTACATACGGTAACGGTGTGCATTATTTATTTTTTTTTTGAAAGGGTTAGGCTAGGTGGGGGGAGGACTATGGGAGTACGTATGCAAAATATTGCAAGTGCTAAATTTTTACCGTATGATATTTCTGTCCCATTAGACAACTGCAGCTCGGACTGCCTTATACCTTTAATAATTGAGAGAAAAAAACTGAATTGTTTTTTTAATATTACATAAAAGATAGTCACTATGTCTGTATCTTTTCTATCCTTTTTGAAGTTTTTTTAAATTACGCTGGACGTTTGCCAACGGCGGTGTGACTGGGTAATCTTTGTAATTTTAGAAGGTTCCTAGTTTTTTAAATAACCATTGAAAAATGTAGAAATAGGGACATAGCAGTTGTACTATACAACTTGTTTTGTAAAAAATATTTCCTTCAGTGTTATTAGGAGAAAACAAAGGAATACAAATACATCGGTATGGACTATACGCTGCCTGGATATCCTCATATTATAATATTTTTATTGAGGCACAAATTTTTAATCCTCAACGAAATTTCATTGCATATACAGATCGTTTTGCATGATTTATTGCATGATATTATTTGCTTTTAACAAAAGGTGTGGAAGGAGGGACTTCGGGCAATAACACACAACAACAAAATCAACAATGTTTGTCCAAGAACGAGCTTAATGAAGCAGTATGTATAGTTTTATTAGCATAAATATAATCCGCTTGTTGGAGAGTAATAGAACGTAGTATCATCATTGTCATACAGTACTTCGAAGGCAATAATTAATCAGCCACCTTTTGGACACCAGAGCGCCACTTATGCATGAGGTAAAATATTTGACAGATTTCATAGCAGGGGAAGTTCATTTGTTAGAAAAGTTTGGAGATTTATTTTTCTTTCTGAAATATGAGTTATAATGAATATTAATTATATAAATGGATAAACCCAAAGTACGGATATTCCTAAAAGTAGCAATAATTTAAAAAAAATTTGAAATGTGTAAAAAATTAAATAACATACATTTTGAGACATCGTTTGGTGTATTGATATAATACTCTAGAAACTTGGTAAAATTTTAATTAAAACCAACTTCTAGATAAAATGACGTTGCGTAACAAAAACTTCGCGTCAGTCCCTACTAACGATAAATGGTAGGCGTAAGATTAGCCCTCATAACCTTTGTGCTTCAAGCTTATTCTAGGCTTTGAAGTCTATGTTTTAAAGCTTAATCCTATTTCTTTTTTTATTAGATATGTTGTTATTGCTATGTAGTGTTAGACCGACGTGTTTTCATAAGCTGATCTTTAGAACATGCTTTATATAGATAAAAATTCCGAAGCAGATGTTTCAAAATGGGCCAGGCCTATATAAACTGTCTCAAAAAAGAGAAAAATCTTCAGAATTTAAGGAAAATACAGATAATTCATTTAAATGTATACTGTCGTGGTAAACAATTGATGTTTATCAATAATTTTTATCGACTTTCAACATGACGTCTTACCGTTTCAGTTATTTTGTGCTTATAGACAATGACAGTAAACGTTAAAGCGGCCATTGTTCATAGAAAGACAACTGTCGTTCTCATAACAGTGTCAAAAATACGTGAATAAACATGTCAAACGTCACAAATCAATAAAAATTACAGCTTACCGCCATGACGGGTTTCTGTTGTGTGTTGCAATTTCAAATGTAATTTCTTGTGCTTTACCAGCAAACAAAGCCATTATAAAATAATTGGACAGTTGAGAACCGTTTAAAATCTGTTTTCCTAATTTTCAGTATAATGTACAAGGACCTGGCCTAGGCTTCATACATTTTGCAACATCTCATTTTATGATCGTCAATCTGTACAAAATACATAATATTATAGTTGTTGTGTAATTGAACTTATTTAAAAATATTCATGATGATCATCTGAAGATGTACTCTTCAGAAGGAAAGAAGATTAGTATTACGGGGAATTGAAACTTGAACTAAACAGAAGCTGCGTTTTTTTTTTATAGGAGAGGGGGCAAACGAGCATACGGCTCACCTGATGGTAAGTGATTACCGCCGCCCATGAACAACTGCAACACCAGGGGGATTGTAGATGCGTTGCCGGCCTTTTAAAAAGGAATAGGATCTTTTCTTGAGGACCCTAAGTCGTATCGGTCCTGAAAAATCTCTGGTGGTAGTTGATTCCACAAGGAAGTTGTGCGAGGAAGACAACTTCCATGGCGTGCACTCATGGCACTTCGCAGCTAAATAGTTTTCGTAGAAATTATTAATCACATTAGTGTAGAAAAATGAAGTAATAAGAGAGACTACACGCTGTTTGTACATATGTATGTTGTATATATATGTGTATACGTATGCATGTAGATGTATTGAGCTGAGAATGTATTACAGCGTTCTTGTAATCTTTTAATTATTACGATTTAGCACATAAAATGCTTATAAAGTAAGTATTATTGTAACAGAAGTAAGAGTGACAAAGGAGCGCACAGTCCACTTGATAAGTGGATGCTGTGCTATCCTCGATTAAGGATCGAAACGGAGTCAAATATACAGTCATCACATACCTCAAGACTAAGATGAAATGCCTCTTTCGTAGTAAAAAGGGACACAGCTAATGAATTAGTTCAACAAACTGTAATACAATTGCCAATTGCATTGAAATCCCTAGGATTACTTCTACAAATACGGTGTATTTCTTTGTCTCTTTTATAAGCTCTTAAATGTTAGACAAAGTATTGTTAGAACTTAAATTAGATTAACACCATCGTTCTCGGTACCTAGCTAGGAGTAAAAGATTGGCAGACGATACGAATGGAATTCAGGCGAAATTGGATTAAATTTGTCTGGTTCCTTTTTAGCGCTAGTGTATTATTTATTTCTATTTAAATGTAGCTAAATTGAAAGTAGCTAGTGAAATAACTTGCTGAAGAAATGTGGTATTTTTTATAGAATGCTGGTGAAAAACGAGCACACAGTCCACATGATGGTAAGTGGATACTGTGGCCCATAGACATCTACATTTATTCTCGATTAAGGTACCTAATAATACAGATGCGTTTTCACCGTTGAGTATTAAGATGGAATGCCTCGTTTCCAGTTAAAATGGTTTCCAATTCTCTACACTCACCATACGAATTATGCTGCCGGGGAAAAATTATGTGTAAAATTTTACGTTGGAATTCTGTGAAAGCATGAAACACGGTCGAGCTATTTGTGTTTCGACGATAATATAGCTGCAGCAAGACTCTACCACATATAAAATTGAATTACTCGAATTACAAAACTGTGTTGATATTTTATTTATAAAGTAACATAATAAGGTAGTTAACATGTTGACATTTTAAAAACTTTTTAGAAGCTGTCACTTGCAGGAAAATTTTCTATAGAAATCGTGGATAGAAACTGAGTTTCTTTTAGTCAAATAAACATCTTCGTTGTATGTTCAAAATAATAGAATGTTACTGCACTTTGAACGTGAACTTTTAACGGAAATTCAATCTATTATTATTATATATTATACTTTAAGTGTTCGTACTAATTGTTATTCCTACAACGGGATATGCTCATGTTCAGCGGTGGGCTTATACAAAGTCGTGGAGAAGTAGAAGAAGAAATAGTAGTATTTTCCAATAATAGTCTACGTGTGGTTTTAACTGACACTGTTTTTTATTATTAATACATATAATGATTTCTAATTTGCCACAAAACTGCTTTTTGTCATTAGACGTCACAAAGAAATATCAATTACGTTTCTGTCAACTTAAAATCTATAAAAATAAATAAAATTGATAACTCAAATGCCAAAATAACAGCTTTTTACAAAATGTGCATGAAAATATATACGGTACTTATAAAAAACAAACGGTACTTATTAGAAGAAATTTTTTGCCTGATGTCTGTTTGTTCCGGCTAATCTCCGAAATGGCTGAACCAATTAAGACGGAAGTTTCACTGACAGATAGCAGATGTTATAAGGAGTAACTAAGGCTACTTTTATTTTAGAAAAAGAATTAGGGTTCCGCGGAAAAAATAAACCCATGAAAAATAAATTGCACCCGGACGAAGTCGCGGAGAACAGCTAGTTTGAAAAAAAATTAACCTTAGCATTCATAAAAACGCAATAAAAGCTTTATGATAATTAAACTAAAATAAGCTTTAGTGTAACAATTTCATGTTCTAAAAAAATTGCACGAAAAATTACCAAAAGCTTTCGCTTTTACTAAAAATGGGCCAAATTAAGAGTACCCTTAACCGACGAGCATGTATGCGTAGGTATATAGATGTGGAAGAGGCGAGAGAGGTATGTCAGGATCGTGCTAAATGGAAGTCTGTAGTCTCTGCCTACCCCTCTGGGTGACAGGCGTGAGTGTTTATGTTTATAAACATACATTTTCCCCGCTGCTATATAGTATATAGATTTGTCGAACAATTTGTTTAAGACAAGTCTATTTATCCTATCGTCGTCACTCCATACCAAAATTAATTATTCAATTAAGTCCGTTCAGCCATTTTAGCGTGATTGACCTAAAAAAATCCAATCGGGCATGCAAACTTTTACATTTATTACATTTCAACAGTAATGCGGACAAAGTAATATGCGCAGAACTGAAAGGCATTACCAGGCACCCATGACACTGACCTTATTTCTAGAAAAACTGTATTAAAAAAAGCTGAAATAACAAACTTTAAGTAATCAAAATATTGGCTTATTTATTAATAAATTCTTACCATTTTACGAGCAGTTTGTTGATGCCGTTACTATAGAAGTATTATATTACGCAAGAAGCAATGAAGTCTTTAAAGGCTTTCTTTACTGCGTTGGAATAAAATTTATGCTTACAAAAAGTTATCTAAACATCGAAAAAGTTGGAGTCTTTTAGGGCCAGGTCTAGAAAATTGCCGCAAATTATCTTACAATGTTATGTCTCAAAAGCCGATGCCAGCTCAGCCTTAGTTTGAGACCGATCGGCTTCCACTATCTCTTTCAATTCGTCGTTATCAATTTTTTTCACCAGGCGGCCACGTGGTTCATTTGTTCGGTCTAACGTTACCAGTACAAAAACGATTGAACAAATAGAACAAACAGCGACAAATAGTTTTTTATTAGTTCTAGACTACATTGATATTGCTTGCCTTTTCCTTTTTAGACGTATTATTTTCACGTCGGAACTCATATTCAAAAGCCACACAAAACTTACTTTTTTAAAGTCCAACTTATAAAATAGGCGGTATTGAAGAAAAATTTAAAAGAAACAGATGAATAACTGAATTTGAAAAAAGCATAATATGCCTAAAAATATAAAATTTATTTGAATTTAGAATTCCAAGTCAAACCATATCTATTACAGTTCAACAAAACAGATATTGTTATTTTTATGTTAGCTATATAAGTTAGCTGTTGCCTTCATGAAGTCCGTGATGTCCTACTTTAAGAGCATTGACACTAAAAACTAATCAGCGAAACAAAATCGAGACGTCTAGGGAACATTAAAGCGAGCCTTGAGTCGATCTTAAGATTTCACAATAGTTACTTTTTCCCCCAAGCGTAAATTTAATATGAATTAATTTTCTACAGTAGATGTCGCTCTCCCGTAACTATTTTCTTTTCGTAATTAAGATTGCGTAATTATATTTACTTTTATTATTTATTTTTAATAATTAAATACAAATACACTATTCCTTAAAAAACA